CTGACCTATCCATCCTACTGTTTGAAATAGGGCTGTGGAACTTCTGTTATTAAGCATATTCACAACAGAAGTTGATAGATCTCTGGAGACTGGTGGCATCAGATGAAATGGAGACAGTGCAGGAATATGGCATTGAGGTAGATGACCAGCTATGATCTAATTGCATGACAGAGTAGGCTCGTTAGGCTGTGTGATCTACATTCCTGGTCCTACATTGCTAGTGAAAGTTTCAAAAACTGTGAAGTGTCATGTCAGAATAGGTGGATGGTAAAATCTTCTGACCTTTAGTAAGTCCAGGAAAAGTTATTTCATTCAGACAAGAAACAGTTAGCCAATCGTTGCTTAATTATGACTACAGCTTTTATCCAATTTGTGGGATTTTTATTTGTCATATAGACTGTGTGCCCTCCAATTATCTATCTTCTGCTTGGATGGCATGACTTCTGAATGAGAAGTCAGTGCTGGGATCAGCATCGGTGCACTGAACAGACGTGTAGCCTCATGTTGCGTGTGGGGGACTGACCTACTTTACTGGCTTTTACATTTCTGTTGCCTCCATGTTTCTTCCCCTGTATCCAGCTCATGGTGCCATCGTTTTATAAAGTCAATATAATTGTACTTGTTTTAAAGATTGAAAGGTGCATGAGCTCTTTTTTTATTAAGTGGGGGCCATCGTAAGCAATAATTTAACCTTGTTTTATTGAGCATTTACAAAGTGAAAGAGTATATGCAGATCGCAACTATATTTAGTATTTTAGTATCGAAACAGTTTTCCTGGCCAGTCTAGCTGTGTCTTGAACTCCTGTTAAAACTATAGAAGTTAAATTAAATTGCTTTGTATTCTTTGCTAACTTTTCCTTTTTTTTGTTATTTTACAGCCTGAAATGATTGGCCATTATCTCGGCGAGTTCTCCATCACCTACAAGCCTGTCAAGCATGGCAGACCTGGTATTGGTGCCACTCACTCCTCCAGGTTCATTCCACTGAAGTAAACAGTTTGCAGTGGAAATGTGTAAATAAAACTTGTTTCACTGAATTTAACTTCATGATTATTCTTGAGCAGATCAACAACTTTCCCACTTCTTGCACTGTAGGCTGGAACATAAATATTTTCTCTACATGTATTTATCAGGCATTTCTGTTTTTCGTTTGCATAGTTCTTTTTGCAGTATCTTTAAATGAAAGATACATTTTTGCTTTGATCCTTTATTTGAGAATTCAAGCGCAACTTGCAATATTTAAATTGCTCTGCAACGTCTTTGAGGACTTTTGTATAAATGGAACATGGCTGATGACTTATGAGCCTTCTCTTCCACAGCAGATAGATCGGGAATTCGAGCAGTAGCCCAATTCCGTCTAGCTTTATGGACCAGATCCATAGAGGCTAGATTTGATGACTTGGTGAAACTGGGTGGATGTCTGATAATTAGCATTAGAGTTCCTCGTGAGGAGGTCTGTGCTGGGTTGCAGATTTTGTGAAATCTTTGAAAAATTAAAAATTCCTAAAATCTGTTTCAAGTTGAGACATTTGAGAACAATTGTAAAGAAACATTGTATAGTAGAGGTTGGCACAGGGTAAGGCTTAGTGCTAACCATATTGAGTCAGGAGCTGGAGCAGCAGATGGACTCGAGTGATGCTGAGATTGTTGTGGACAGCGCGTTCGTTGAGATGTACGTGTTTAAATACTGTTGAGAGTTGCTTTCTTGGGATAGCAATGGAAGCCAAGCCCATGGCATTATGGGTAGCCCTACTGCACAAAAGAGGAGGAAGTAGAATGGCAGGGCTATAGTGAAGAGGACAGACAGATGTTTCTGTAGTCACAGAAGATACTCCAGAAGTATGTTGAGGGAAGAGGAACTGTTAGTGCTTTAGGGGAGGCTTTAAACTAGAATGGCAGGGGGTTGCTAACTTGAGCAGGGAGACAGGATAGAAACTGAAGACAAATATAAGAAGCAAATTTGGAAAGATGAGAAAACAAATCTGAAAAACAAATGGCCATAGTGCAAAATAAAGCTACAATGACTAACAAGGTTAAAAAGACAGGTCTAAAGGGTTCGTGCTGTAATACATGAAGCATTTTCAATAAAGCAGATGAATTAGCAGTGCAGATAGACATAAATAGTTATATAGGTGCAGTTACAGAGGCATTGCTGCAGGATTACCAAGGATGGGAACTGAACATCCAGATGTATTTATTATTTAGGAAGGGCCGATGAAGAAGGAAAGGAGGTGGGGTAGCATTATTGGTAAAGTTGTTTCAATGCAGTGAGACAGGATATTGGATTGGAAATGCATGCTGTGGAATCTATAGGGGGAGATGAAAAACACCAACGGGCAAAATATGCCCATATGCAGTGTTTGCGATGTCAGGGAAGGCATTAAACAAGAAATCAAATTCATGTAGTACACAATTAAAGTCGCTTTTGTCTTACCATACTGTAGGCTGGTCTCTCGTAAGAGAGACTCCTGGTAGACGTTTAACCTGAGGATCACTACATCTCAAGCGAGGGTGGCCTGATGGCTACCTCTTGGTAACCTCGGCCAGTGTGGGAGGATTGAACTCACACCATTGTATTATAAAAGATGTGATAACAGAATGTTTGGAAAGCAATAATGAGATTGGACAGCCAGCTTGGGCTTATGAAAGGCGAGTCATGCTTAATAAATCTACTGGAATTTTTTTGAGGATATAGAATCATAGAATCCCTACATTGCAGATAGAGGGTGTTTGGCCCATTTGGTCTGTACCAACCCTCTGAAGAGCATCCCACCCAGACCCCCAGGGTGTTGGTGAGACCACACCTTAAGAGTATGGCGTGCAGTTTTGGTCTTCATACCAGAGAGAGGATATATTTGCTGTAGAGGAAGCACAGCTGCAGTTCACTAGGCTGATATCGGGGTTTGCAGGACTGTCCTAATGAGGAGTGATTGGTTTGACGAGGTTATATTCACCAGAGTTTAGAAGGTTGAGAGGGGATCTGATAGAAACGTGCAAAATGCCAACAGCTGAGATAAGGAAACATTTCTTCACGTGGTAGTAAAACTGTGGAAAAGGTGGCACTGGCATGGTGGCTCAGTGGTTAGCGCTGCTGCCTCATAGCGCCAGGGACCCGGGTTCAATTCCAACTCACTGTATGGACTGTCTGTATGGAGTTTGCACATTCTTCCTGTGTCTGCGTGGGTTTTCTTTAGGTGTTCCAGTTTCTCCCCTCAATCCAAAGATGTGCAAGCTGTGGATTGGCCATGCTGAATTGCCCATAGTGTCCAGGGATGTGTAGATTAGGTGCATTAGCGATGGGATAGGGAAGGGGGACTGCTGTGGGTGGGATTCTCTTCAGAGGGTCAGTGTGGACCTGTTGGGCTGAATGGCCTGTTTCCACTCTAAGGATTCTATGATTCTGTGTATGGAGAGAAAGTGACTAAAAATGCAGCATTGAGTTAGAGGAGCAGCCATACTTATACTGAATGGTGGTACAGGGTCAAAGATTGAATAGTCTACTCCAGCTCCTAGTTTCTATACTTCGAAGTGTGGCAGCAGTAGGTTAAGCATATACCTGAATGATAGGTCAACCTCACAGTGAATGCTATACATAAATTCCTTGTTCTAATGTTAAGGCTCAGGATACATGGAATTGTTACAGTGTGGGAGAGGCCATTCAGCCGATCATGCCTCCGCCAGCACTGTCCAAATGAATATCTTACTTAATGCCATTCTTTTGTCTTCTCCATTGCCTTGCACATTGTTCTTTTTCAAATAACTGCCTTGTACCCTTTTGAATACCTCAATTGAACCTGTAAACTGTAATAATTTGCAAAACAAATCGCAACCAAAATAGGTGTGCACTTCTTTCATCCAGAAAAAAAATAATATCCTCCCACTTTGAAAAATTCCTATTTATGAACATCAATTTGTCCCTCTGCACGTTGCCTTGTAATCTGTAGTGTGTAGGTCCTTTACAGGTAGAAGCGTGGATACAGATGATTTTACGTATTGACACGTTGAATGCATCAAGCCAGTAATACACTTTTATAGAAAAAAAAGTTGGGAGGTTCCAGTTGCAATATTTTGCGCACTTATTAAACAATGGGAATACAGTGGAAATTCACTAAGTACTGAAGCTCATGGGAATAGGTAATAAGGAGGACCTAACAAGTTCCAAAGTATTAAATATTTTAAGAAGGCAAAGGGAGGCATTGCTGCAAAAACTATCAGGTTATTCTTCTTTATGTTCCTGCTGTTGTTGACCGACATGAGCTCCCAGTAAAGGAGTACCTTATACATCATTTTCAAATGCAATTACTGCATTGCTCTTCCCCAGCTCTCTTGCCACCTTCTCCCTAATTATCAGATATCTGAGCTTCACATCCTGATCTTAATTGTTTCCCATTGGTAACTCTGCCTTCAGCTGCTTCCATCCAAAAACTGTCAGTTCCACACTCTTCCCCCGCCAAACTCTACCTTTTTTTCTTTCCCCTCTGCTCTATGATGGTTCCTGAAGCCTATCTCTTTGACCAAGGTTTTAGTAATGTTTCTTAAATAGAAGGGCAAATTTTAAAGGAAGTTGGACAGATGTTTGAAGGGAGCAGTGTCAAATATGGTGAAAAGGCTGGGAAATCAGTGATCATTTCTATGAAGAGAAGACCGTTTTATTCTTGTACCCTTTCCTCAGCTTTTATTGTTGCTTTAGTACATAACCCGATTGCCTGATCATTCCAACAATCTTTCATCACCACTAGTTATTGCAACAGGATCAGATTAATCTTTCCATGTATAACATTATGCAGTTCCCCACCACTCTACCCAATCTCCATCCTTCATGTGTAATTAACCTTCATGTGACATACTTGAACATAAACCCAATTAACTGCCAACCAAACATCATACCCCTGATTTATTGACCAGAAAATTTATTTGCTATCAGACCAATTAATGAGTAGGAGACAAGCTTACTCAATACACATATAATCTTTATATACCATGCACATTTAAAAAAATAATTTACAGGTAATATATGCGGCTTTTAGAAGTATGTTTTGCTACTGAAGAGTATATCTCTCTAACCCCAATCAAGAGAGAAGCACATGAACATATGTACATCCACATCACAAAGACATCTTTCTGTTGGCTTTTCAACATTGTGCAAACCACAGTCTTTTCACAGGGAGTTATGTGACATTCAAATATGTGAGGCCTCAGTATATTTGGGTAGAGCATATGATGCAAAAACAGGAAGAATCCTTCAATTAGTATTTTGGCAAGCATGTTGATAAAGCCTGTTTTCCATTCTTTGTTCTGTGACACATACAGACTGTCTCTGTTGTATAAATAGTTTGCCATCGAGAGGGTGAAAATGAACACGATTTGCAGTATGAATAAGATAAATGGCGACATAGGTGAAAACTGCGTATAACATTGGTGGTGACAGCCCACCCGGGTGGAATTACACTTCAGATCGAGAAAGTCATCCTTCCAAATGGTGAATGTGTTGGTGATAACAACGAGGGAACGAATACCGAAGACCAGAGCCAAATAGTTTCTGGCACAAGATGAGACATGGGCT